TGCTGCTGTGTTCTCTGCTGCCGCAGCAAGCGGCTGCACAGCTTCTGCGGCTGTTGCTGCTGTCGCATCTGTTGCTGCGTCTGCTGCTGCATCTGCGAGCTCCTCCGCTGCTGCGGGCGTTGCTGTTGCTGCGTCAGCTGCTGCTGCGTCTAATGCTGCTGCGTCAGCTGCTGCTGCGTCAACTGCTGCTGCGTCAACCGCTGCTGCGTCAGCTGCTGCCCTGTCAGCTGCTGCTGCTGCTGCATCCTCCGAAAGGGCAGCAGCAGCAGTAGCAGTCGGGCTGTGTGCTTCTGCTGCTGCGCGAGCTACAAAGACAACTGAATCTGCTGCTGCAGTTGCGTGTGCAGCAGCAGCTGCAGTTGCTGCTGCTGCTTCAGCAGCCGCTTGGATGCTTTCAGCTGCTACAGATGCAGCAGCTGCTGCTTGTCCTGCAGCATGAGCAGCAGCAACAGTCTGTGCAGCAACTGGAAAATTCACCCCTGCTGCTACTGCTGCTGCTGCTGCTGTTGCTGCTGCTGTTGCTGCCGCTTGTCCCGCTGCTGCTTCAGCATCGAAGGCGGCGTCAGCAGCAACAGCAGACTCAGCAGCAACAGCGACTGCAGCAGCAGCCCCCTGCGTGGCTGCTGCTTCCATAACAATGGCCTCTGCCTCAGCAGCAACTTCGTCTGCATTCGTTGCCGCCACTGCTGCTGCTGCTGCAGTTGCTGCAGCCACTTCTGCTGTTGCTGCTGCCGTTGCTGCCTCTGCTGCTGCTGCGAGGCTGTGCGCCACACGTGCTGCTGCACTAGCAGGGCTGCTGGGCGAGTTGTGTGCAGCACAGTCTTGCTGCTGCTGTTGTTGCTGCTGCTTCTGCTGCTGCTGCGCTTGCTCACCCGTGTCTGCAACCTCGCACTGCGGCTGCAGCGTGTAGGGAGCCAAATTTGCTGCTGCTTTTACTGCTGCACCTGCTGCAGCTGCTGCCGCCCTGGCAGCAGCAGCACGGGCAGCAGCAGCAGAAGATGCTGCAGCTGAGCTGTTTTGCTGCTGCAGAGAGTCTTCCTCTTCTTCAGACTGTGAAGAGTCTGTCTCCCCTCTGCTGCTGCCATAGCATGCGTCCTCGCCTGCTGCTGCTGCTGCTGCGGAGCGGCGCCTGCGAGCCTTGCCATTGCTGCTGTTGCTGCTGCTGCTGCTGCTGCTCCTGGAGACCGCTTTGTCATGCGGATGCTGCTGAGTGTCCTTCTGCTGGTCCTGCAGCACCTCTTGCTGTCGCTGCTGCTGCTGCTTCTGCTGCTGCTGTTGCTGTTGCTGCGCTGCAGCTTGTCTGGTCAGCCGACTCGGCCGCCGCAGCAGCCAACTCGCTGCTGCTGCCAGGGGCAGCAGCACCAAAAGCAGCAGCAGCAACATGCTAAATAGGGGCCCTATGGAAGGCAAGAATCGGAAGGTCACTCCTGTCGCCGTTGCTGCTGCTGCTGCTGCTGCTCGAGCCGGGAGGGTGCTGAAGTACCAGCGACAGCTGCAGCAACGTCAGCAAGAGTGGGTGCAGCAGCAGCTGCAGCAGCAATAGCTGCCCCCGAAAACAGCAGCAGCAGGTAGAAAAACCACCGACTCAAGGCGCCTGCCTGTAAGTTGGTGTGAAAGCTGCTTGAGCTTCAGTTTGGCTGCTGCTGCTGCTGCTGCTGCTGCTCTTGTTACTGCTAGTGCGGGTGCTACACAGTAAGAACATCAATTTGCAGCTTTCGGCTGTTCCTGTTTATTAAATACA